CTGCGTTCATTGTTAGATTTTGTAGGTTAGCACAAAGATAAAAAGATGAAAGTCACAAAATATGCAAAAAACAAAGGTTTGGTTAGTTAATGGCTGGCTTCTGTTAGTTTCCTACTTTCTAAATAAACCTGATGATTCTGCAACACCTCACCCATCACTGCTTTCAGGATTTCATCTGATTCAATTAAAGAGTCTGGAGAGATAAAAATTGGGACACTGCATTCTGCTTTCACAGGCAGACGTGTTACTGGCAAGCACACGCAGATTGATTTAAATATTATTCAAATAGAACCTTGAAAGTATGCTCATCGTTCCCCCCCTAAGCTAATGTAATATAAATGTTAATTAACATTTGTGCAGTGAGCTGGAGAAGCAAGTATTTGCAGGAAAGTAAACGCTTTTCTAACGTTTGTACTGAATAATGGTATAGGGGACTTTAACTGTACCTATATTGATACAGCTTTATCAGCAAAAACATGTTTAGATAAAAAGGAAATTATAAAGTTAAGATTGAGTTTTTGCCCTGACGCTGCATCTGTGTGAGTTGCTCGGGTGGCATTGCTCCAAATGATGTTTATTTATGTTCAGAGGTACACATGTGCATTGTTGAGGTAATTCAAAGATACAAATCTCTTTGCAAACTCTGACCTTGAGGTAAACCGATCACATGACTTGCTTCCCAAACGGTTGCGGACTGAGAAACAGTAACAGACTGGAAAATGAGTCTCGTGAAATTGTTGGCAGATATAAAGACACGTGCTATGACAGCTTTAGGCCAGACTGGGTTTATTAAAAATAAAGACGTCCACATCTCCAAATTGATGTTATAGAAGACCGTCCGGCAGAAGATGTATCATCATTATTTTTTTTCTTTGTCTTTAATATTTCCAGTGCTATGAAATTGAAAAATTCAATTTAGAAAAAAAATCGAAGAGCTCTGGGTGGAATTGAAATTATGCAGCTTCATCCTGAAACTCACCGTTATGGCTAAATGTCTTTCTTTTGCCTTAAAGGAAATGAATAAATTACAGTGCATTAATCACAATGAAAAGCTGTCTCATATATAGGTTAAAAGGGACCAGCTGTGTGCAGTCATGCCAAGTGTTGGTGGTACGGACTTTATTCAGCGGGCTAATTGTGTGTGGCATCCAAGTTGGCCCTCATTAACTTCCCTGCATTACCTTTCGCTGTGGAGAAATGAAGGGCTTTCAGCCATCTGTCGTCGCCCATCTACCTTTACAGGGTTGAAGTGACATCAAGGACATCATTTTTATATTCTAAAAGGGAAAGGAGCTCTGACCAGGGTGCCGAGCAAAAGCTGATGAAGTTGTTATGATCTTTTCAGTCGAAACATTTAACATTTAAAGAATGGATTTAATTTCTTGAGGTTTTATCCTCGCTTCTTGCCTTTTCAATATTTCTTGGTTTGTCGCTGCAAAAATAGCTTATTGGTGTTTCAAGGTTTCCAAGAATCAACTTAAAGCCAACTTTTTGAAAACCGCGAGCATTATTTTCGTGTCATGCCCCTTTGAAATCAGAGATGGGGACTTTTGTGGCAGGAATGCTCACAGTGAGATTCAAACAACAAGGAACTCAAAGAGCAGGTAGAAAAAAAAAAAATTCGGGAGCACAGTCCTTTTGTGGACCAAAGGTCAATCCAGCTGTGGGAAAAAAAAAGCTGTCATACAGAACGAAGGCCTTTTAAAGTTTACGAATGGAAGAAAAAAATGGCTCCGAAGTTGTGGGATGAACCACATGATGATGTAAGTTGATTAGCCATGTTGTCCAGCTGAGCTTTGCAGACCAAAAAGCTCTGGTAAGAATTAGCCGAAAAAAATCACATTGTGAGGCTGCAGAGGTGGACTTATTGGTGACTTAAAATAACAATGTTGTGTTAGGGAGCATGCTTTCAAGGCTCATATTCTGATTAACCTTACTTACTACCACCTTACTTTTTGACACAGACCGCCTTAAACCATTTATCTATCTTGAAAGGGACACAGAAAAGTCTTCGGAGCTCCAGCTTGAAGTTACACACTGCTAATGATTGCCATTTTCGTCTAAAATAAATGTTCAATGTTTTCATTCTGAAAGGAACTTTATAATAACTGTAATTTTTCAATTAAACATTTGACTTAAATATGACACAAACATTTTATTGACTGATAAGAACAAATACAGGTATCTACAAGGACAATGAATCCTACAGCTGTATGTAAGTTTCAGTATTTTTTTGGACATGAAAACTGAAAATACAAAGTAACAGTAAGCATGCTGTTTGATAAAAATATATTTACAAAAAAATGTACATTTCTATACATCAGCTGTTCATTACACGTGTCTGTAATCCCACAATTAAACCTCAATGATGCCAACAAACTGCCCTGTGCACACAGCATTACTCTACAAAAGTAATCATGTATTAGATATAAAGATGAACTCTTTACAGTGTAAAGTTAAAGGCTGAAGAAAAGTGTTAACATCCAGATAAAATACGAAACATTTTTTTTCTCCATTTTTAAAAAATGCTATGCATGAAGTTATTTTGCAAAGCATTGGACATCAGCAAACACATTTTTAAAAAGTAACAGACTACCGATCTGTTAAAATAAGGCTGCAAACAAACAACAGCAAAAAAAAAAAAAAAAATCTAAGAAAAACTATAGAACACCATCTTTTAAAACCCCTACATCTTTCTAAAAGTTGTCTTCATTATTATGCATTATTGAGGTTCCCCTCACCATTTTGACAGTGAGCTGAAAGTTGTATTTTGTTTAGGGGTCATTTTTGCCAGACAAATCTGCCATGATTGACACATTTGTTCATGAAGAGACATAAGCTTTCCTTCACACTACAGAAATCCTCCAGTTACCTTTATTTCCTCAGCAAAGGATAGCACACTAATTTAATATCGGCATTAATAGTGGTCATAAGAATTACTATTAAAAGTGGCTGCAGCTCATGGGTTGGTGGTTTGGTCCGAGGCCATATGTTAAAGTGTATTTGGAGACCTTGAATCTCGAGCTGCCTGCACAGAAACATAAACAGTTTTCCAGAAAAATGCTGGGCTTGTGTCATTACGGCATCCGTCCTAATGACTAAAACCATGTGATTCAAGGCTGACAAACTGTGGTGACTCCTGATGGGAAATGCCGGAAGGGGACAACATGTTAAGCACAATGATGGTGAAAAACAGAGCAAATGCTCCCAGTACCTCAGGAGAAGTGTTGGATTTTGCTAAGTAATGTTTATTGCCAGCTCTCAAACTTTTACGCACTGAAACTGAACTTGTGCTTTGGGGTTACGGCAGTCCTCAAAGCCAGAAATTCAAACAGCTCAATTCAAAGCGTAGCTGTGTTTAGGATCAAAATCCTTTGCAGTTAGGACACTTCCAGGGCAAACGGGGTGAAGCAACCCATTGAACTAAAAGCACAGGACTTTTACAGACATGCTTATTTATTCTGAAGTTTTGCTATTTCAAACACTGACAGAATCCTGTTTGTTTTCATATACGGCATATACTGTAGGCAAGTGAAAAACAGATGTGATACTGCTTTAGTAACATCAGCTAAAGGCTGAGAAAGATATATATTCATATAAAAAATGAATCCTTCTATAAATAATTTATAATTATAATCAGGTCCATTTTAGTTCTAGACATTAGATAAATACAGCCTTATTTGAAAAACAACACATAGCATGTTGCTCATGTCGTTATTTGTTAAACATAAAAAAAATGTAATGCAAAAGTCCACCATTACTGCCTCTACAGGAATTAAAAGAGGAATTAAGAGAGAGACACAGCCTGGAGGAGTTGTGAATCAAATGAACTTGATAATTAGATAATCAGTAAGCGTGAGGACCTCAACAGAAGCAGACGTTTTGTCTGCTACTCTGAAGCTTTCAGGTGTCTGAGACAAGGACTCCTTTTTTATAATGGCAAGAAGGAAAGACATGATCAGCAGTTGTTGCTGCTAATCAATCTGGGAAAGGTTATAAGGCCCTTCTACAGAGAGAAGGAATGGCCACAGGTGGAAAACATTCAAGAATGTAGCCAATTTTGATGGAACAGCCCAGCAACATCCAAAAATTCAGATTGTTCAAGGCTGAGAAAAAAACCCCCAAATCTCAAACTCTGCAGGCGTCAGTTAGCATATTAAATGTTAAAGTTTCTGATTGCACAATAAAAAAAAGGCAGAACAAATGTGGCTTGTTTGGAGAAAAGCAAATGCAGCACATTGGCACCAACACCTAACACAAACTGTCCAGGAAAGTGGACAGTATATCTCTCTATTTATCTATAAATCCCTGTACGACAAGTAATCTACTGTTTAAAATCTGTTGAAAACCACATTTTATTATGTCCAGATATGTAAAACCTTAGAAGTGAGAGTGAATGCTGGTGATTTATGCAACTGCACATGTATGTTGGTGAGAATAATTAAGACAGCAGCACTTTTACCGACCTTCTTTGAAAAAATTCAATTTGGACTGCCAGTGCTTTGATAGAATCTTACCCTTTTTCAGCCAAATTAATGCTGAACAGACATCAGGCGAGACTCTCGGTTTCCAGCCGCTCCCAGCTCCTTGTTTTGTGAAATAACTTTACAGTGGTTAAGCCGAGCAGACGCGTTGTGAGTAATTAACTGCTGCACGTGCTGAAATCCAGTTGTTAATTACATAATTAAATCTGTAGAAAATGTTTTTGAACCATGTTAATTGTTCAGTTGAATGTAAGGCTGCATTCGACTAAAAATATGGTACAAGCTCTGCAGCTCAAACTGCAACATCCCCATTACTGACAGTGAACATTACCAAATAATTATATGAATCAACTGATCCGTAGGTCACTGTCAACTGACCACAGTTTCAATGTAGACCTTCATGATTTTTTTGTAAGTATTTATACTAGATGTTTTGAATAACCTTTGACTGATGTTTGATTACTCATTCAAAGGGTGTAATTCTTCAAATTTATCAATGCCGTTCTGTGTGTTTGGCGGCAAAAAACATTACCTTGCTCCCTCTCCTACATGAGCTGGAATCCGAGCAGAATACAGAAGGAAAAATGGTGAAAGAGAGAGATGCTGGCTGAACAGCAGAAGTCCATGTTGGGATGCACAGGCTGAGTAGGGAGGAGTGCACTGAGATGTTAGGGCACTGCTCCTTGGCAGGAGGCCTGCGCCAGTGTTGGCTCCCTACCACAGGAAGCCTTTTTCTGCTTCTGAAACTTGGCAGGAGAACGGGAATGTATGATGGAACGGCTCCCATGGGGCATTTGTGTGATAAATGGATAAAGCTGGATAAAGTTTTGCTCGCAGCCATTGGTTTATGCATGACGGCGGCGATGTTTCATTCATTTTTTTCTGAATACCACACAGCAGTTGCAGATTGTTGGTACACATATTTATTCATTTGATTCTTGAGCAAAAACAAAAGAAAAGAAAAAAGTACGGAAATTACAGCGCAAGCACATTTCATAAAAGCAGCAACGACTGGTCGACAATGTCATGTTCCCATCTTTTAACATAACTTCATTTATAAATCCAATAAAACCCTCTATTCCTTTCCCATCAGTTTTATCTTTTCAGGAACAGGTTTAAAATGTAGAGACAGACGGCTTTTTGCAATGTAATACAAGTTTCACTTGAAGTAAACTCCGACCAATGCATTAAAACAGATCTTGGGTACATTTGCTTTAGACGGCACATTGAATTTGGTTTGTGCTGCAGAGCTGGGCATCAAAACATGACTCGGCATCTCTTAAACACAACTCACAGTCCTGAATGGGTGTCTTGATTCCTCACAGATCCTTTTTGCCTCTGGAAGGTGAATGATGAATTCTAATACACAAGACCAGGGGATTCGGCATCCTTTCCCTGCAGTGACAAAGAAAAAAAGCTGAAAATATATGCCTCGTATCTTCTCCACAAACACAGCGACTGTTTATATTTCTGTTAATCTGACGAGGATTAACCAGAGTTTAATGTCCGCTTTAAATGGCCTTAGAAATATTTCGGGAAGTGGGGAAATATTTTCTGACGGCTGGATTTGCCTCTCTAATCCTTCTGGACCTGACATATTGAGGCTCCTCTCGAATGTGATTTTCCATACTGTTAAGGCCTGCAAGTGAAGCATTCATGTATTCTCCAGTGAGTTTTTCAGGTTTTTAAATGTATTTGATTTGATAAGGTTGAGTGTAGTGGCCGCTGGTAGAATTTCAAAAAGTCAGAGCCATGGAGAGCAAATGGAAAACTCAAGTTTAAGGTGTGATTTCTTTAATGGTGGATAACATTGGGGCACCGTCTGTCTGGAAATGCATTCCTATGCTGATAACTCACATTTTTCTTAGCTGGCATAAAGAAGCTTTAGTTAATTAATTTTATGGTGCATCCACATTTTCCAAGGACAACTTTAGTAGCCTGTGTCTTTTAAAAAGGGAGTGACATGTCGGACATTTCTAAAAGTTGAAGTATTTGCAGTCCGACTGAACCAGGTGATGTTTCTGAGGTACACAAAAGGTGTTCTTAGGTTTGCTGTAAGGCTTTCTGCAATTATATCTGAAGAAGTAATTTATGTTATTTGCACCTGAATGCATCACATGCAAATTAAATCTCAGTGTAAGCTTGAACATTACACGTATTTTACATCTCCATGTTTTGTGAAATGCTTTTATCTAATAGTTGCTACTTTTTGCTTACATAATGTTGCAAGTATCAAAATGAGTTGCTAAAATGAACATGCCCTCCAATAATCAATGATTATCATTATTTTTCTGGCACTGCACACATTTAAGTGAATTAAATGTGATGTTGTACTAACAGTATTTGACTTGTAAACACATCGAAACATTTCTTGTTATGTAGAGCGAGCCAAGACTTGGCTGAATGATGCCAGTGCAGCATCATTACCCAAACCCTGAGAGGCGTGAGGCTGGAAACTTTTTACCTCACCGTTCCCACCCCGTCCACGGAATTCAATTAGATGAATGTTGTTTATGGGCAGTTCTGGCCCACTGAAACGCCATTAATGCTCTCACCGTTAAACTCAGTGTTAGCCGCTGCTCAGTGAAGCTGGCCTTTCAAATGTCAGAGAGCCTATGATTCCCAAGATTATTAACGAATGTTTAGAGATGCTCAAGACACAGTTCGGTGGTTACGGTTTTAATAAGGGCTGGATGTACAGTTTTCTAATGAGAGCAGGATGGGGAGCAGTCAGCAGAGCAACCAGAATGTATCTTCTTTATGGATGCTAAGGCTGGACAGAAATCGAAAGCCCCTTACCTGATCTCAGTTGTCAATATCTGAGACGTGGTTCTCTATCTGAAAAAGAGAGCATATAGAGGGGGAAAAAAAATGAGCGGGCACATTCGTTTACTATTTTCCAAAGGTCAGTGCAGATATATATGCTCCGCGAGAGAAACGGTGAACCAGCCCAACAGTTTCTGTGGTACAGCGTCATAAATTGAGATCAACGCGACCTTCTGGAAACAAATAAATCTCCTCCAGCACGTTGCTGAAAAATAATCTCATCCATTAGTGAGAGCGCAAAGCTTTCATCAAGGGTGGCACGGACGTGCTCACCTGGTTAATGGCTGATAAAGGAAACATGATAAAACAGCAAGGGCGTGCAGATGAAATTGAGGACGACTCCACTTGTGAATTGTGAGACATAAAATAAAAAACTATGCGGTGCAGCATAGCTGTATAGCTATTTGTTTGGAGGTTTAACCAGGTTTGAGGTTAAACATCAGGGAGCAAACGCTCTGATGAAGGCTGGCAGATGTAGAAATGTTTGTACTCGCGCTGTAAAATCCCTGTTACAGATAAATCACCAATTTATTTGTATTTTTTTAACCATCTCCCCTCATAAGGCTCCACGTTACCTGTTTCTGGCTCATCTCATCTAAGATTAAGCTTATATACATAATATTTTGTGTGTTCAAGCTCTGTAAGGCCTTTATCTTATTACAAAGAAAAATTACTATAAATTATCATTTCAAAGTGTGTTTTTTTTATCAATACATTCACCACAGGGAGGGAACGAGGGTAAATAACTATAGCGGCTAGAAAGATAAGCGTTCCTTGGTAACTTTTCTCACTAAGCTTGTCAATGACGGCCTCTTCGGCATTATGCGGCATCGACCACATCGTGCTCGATACGGCTCATGCGAGATGTGCTCTTAAACTCTCTCCTATGTGTCTGGCTGACCGTTTTAATTTAGTCTCTGCCTGCCTGAGAGCCCGTGAGGAGCGCTGCCTCCGCTGTTCCAGCCATGGCCGACAGGGAGAAACTGTCAGTCCGGGCGCTCGGGTGAAGCCCTGTTCTCTCCCCACTCTGCTGCCATGAATAATTCTGGAAAATTATCTTTCACAAGGCGAAAAGAACAGACTGCCTGCTTGAGATCTCCCAAAGTGCATAGCTTCCTCGCCGCCCCGTTAGCCCCTGTCGACCTTTTTTCTCTTACCAGATGGTGGCCGCCCTCCTCGTCGAAGTCGTCCTCGCCCCCGTCGGTCATCTCTCCCGCCTCCACGTCCAGCGCCCCCTCGCCAGCCTCCTCCCCGGAGTTTTCCGCCGTCTCTGAAACAGACTCCTCATGTAAGGAGTCGCAGTTGTCTTCATATTTTCTTTGAGCCTCTAAAAAAAAATGAAGAAAAAAGCAGGGCCGCAGAGAATTAAGTGAAGTACGAATCGGTTTGTACCTTCTTTGGTTCACAAATTAGATGCAAAGTTTACTTTGCTTCCTTTCAAGATAAAAACTCAGCATCTCTACTTTTCCCTACAGGAATGTGGAGATGGAAAGGGCCAAAACACGATTCAAAACAAGTACTCATGTGACTTCCGCCCAGTCACTTAGACACAGATGCAAGTCATTGAACATTTACCTTTTCACTTCTGCTCCAGTGGATTGCAACAAAACAAACAGAATTCTTGAATTTCAAGTCTTAAATTATTAAATCTGTCCTTTCAACTGTCCACATAATTATATTACCGAATGTAACTGTGTTAGAGAACTCAGAACTCAAAGACAGTGCCACTGCTGAGTGATTTTTGATAAATAAGAAGCAACAAAGAAAAGTTTCTACTGAAATTTCCATTTCGAACTGAGTCAATAAAGTCAGTGATGTGGAATGTGTCACTATGCGTCTGCACTGAGTGTCGGGGATTTGCTTTCATTTTATGTTTTCCCTTCGTTCAACCCAATCTCCTCATCTTATCTCAATCATTTTTCAGAAACAGATCTGCAGGGTGAAGCTCTAACTGGCACATGCTCTCAGAAATGTGTGCTAAGCTGTAATTAGTGTGTCCACTAGACCTTATCCTTTGCAACATGCATTTGTGTTTTCACACGCTCTGATCAAATAATCTCAATAGGGTTGTGTGGATCATGTTTTTTACAATAAAAAAAATATTTTTTTCATTATTTTGTTATTTCAGAATTATATCCCACAATTCTCCTGTTAACATAGAACAAAGGGATTGTTCAGGCTCTGGTAGACTGTAATTTTCTTTTTTTTTTTTTACTGGATGGCAGGAGTCAGCCACTCGTAGCAGGATTGAGTGTGAGTTTCTGCTGAGTGTTAACGGCTGGCAGCAGCAGCCAATGAGAGGTTGATGGGGTTAATTGTCCTAACTGGTCACACCTGTGAAGTTGTGGACATAAAGCACGTGTGGAGAGTCCTGCAGGACCACTCGCCAGCATGCTCTCTTTACCTATAAATGAGGCATTTATGAACTACCAAATTTTGTTTTTCTGAACCCTGTAATTGGCCCGCATTTTGCTTTCCTGCAAACAAGCTGACTGTAGGCACCTCTAATGGAGAGGACCTGTTGTGATGTTTTTGACTGAGAGTTGCTGCACCTGTCAGTTCTGGAATCTCTTTATTAGATGTTGTTAGCAAAGGTGTTTTTAAAGGATCTGCTAATCAATAGACTTTTTACCAATGAACAAATCTTTTTACCAAGACCATATATCTCATTTAATTTGAAAGCCAGGGATTCCTTTAAAATTAGATCTGAGTTTCAGAGTAATATTTTGACTTGTCCTATAGTTTTTTACAGTTATCATTGAACAGTTGTTAATGATAATAAGAGATAAATAGTTATTTATCTTAAGATCACTGATTTCTTTGACAGCAGCCTCAAAACTGATCTCATTTTCAGATTATAAAATAACCATTTGGAACAGAGCAAACAAATATGTTAATGTGCTTTCTTGATCTAATACATTTTTCATAAAAGTCATTCCTCAGGGACAAACAATATTTGGCGATACTGTATCAGAGAAATAAATGTTCAGTATTTTAAACCAGCAGCATGTTTGGTGGTGAAACATGTCGCCCTTCACAGTGAGCTGCCCTCTGAGGCCGTCCTGTGGTGTGGGGCGTCTATAAAGACTTTTCAAACGAACCCGGTCAGTGTGGCTCTGACACCTGTCTGATGATATGACGGGGAGCTCTGCTGCGCTTATCTCCAAAGGTGTCAATAAGACTTATGGCTGACGTTTGCCCTTAACTTATCTCCCTCACTCGTGTCCTCTTTTTTCCCTTCCTGTCTACCTCAGAGTGCTGTCTTTTTTACTCACCACATTCAGCTCTCTGCTGCTTCTCAATCTTCTCCAGACGTCCCAGCAAAGAGTCGATCTTCATCTTGATCTGAGTGAGCTCTCGTTTAATAGTCTGGAGCTGATCCGTCTTCACTGTTGAGGCACAGACACACAAAGAATGATCATTTGTGGTTATTTTATGTCGGTTGAAGTTCTGTATTACTGTAATCGTGGAAGGACTGTAACCCGTTATCATAGGAATATCAAATATAATAAAAGGAAAGAAAAAAAAAAGAAAAGAAAAAAACAACCTCCAATTTACAACCTGCTGCTCCTAATTTGGATGAGTACACAGCTTACACCCACACTGTGCAGTAATTCCAAACTTTATCCATAAAGACTAAATCTGATCAAACTGTGAGACTTGGTTGAGTGTTGTTTGGTTACAGTTAAGCTCTTCTCTAACTTGACAGGTTATAAACTTTCAAATTTTAAAATCTCATTCCTTTGAACATAATTTGGCAAAGAATAATCACACATTGCCAAATTAACTTTTTGCTTGGGGCTATCTGTGGGTTTGTGTTTGATTTGTTCAGGCAGAACCTGGCTGTGGTCCATCCTCCACGGTTGAAGTGCCATTTTGAATGATATGCTAGTAAAGATCACAAAAAATGAGAAACCCTGACGAATCTGCTTTATACAGTGAATTTGTTTTTCTAAATGTGTGTAAGTCGCTTTTGTGTAGCAAATATTTTAAACAGTATTGCAATCTACAAGTACACTACTGTTCTATTTCAGTGGTCAGTATTCTGTTTCTGATGCCTAACCTAAAGAAACAAATAAAAATACATTTTCAACATGCTTTAATCCCTTTTAACATTTCACACGCTGACTCACGCCCGATCATCACATCACTGGCTGTGCAGACTCAGAATAAGTGGCTCGATTTTCCCTCCCAGTGCCTCTGTTTACTGCCACGTGAATAATCCCCCCCCCACTTCCTACTTTGCCTCGGGTTTCAGTGTTCACTCAACAAAGCATATGTGAGCTTGGGGTAATAAAGTGGAACTGTATCGTGTCAAAACTCGAGCCTCAACTTTGAAAATAAAAGCGCTTATCAGAGAAACGTCACCATCAATTCAGTCTGGTCCGTCTCATGGCTCCTGAAATTAGGGAGAGCTCCTCAGTGGTTTCAACTGAGCAGATTATAGAATTTAGCAGCACGGTAATGAGATAATCTTATTCTCTGACCCTCAGCAGCTGAAATGTGTCTTGCTTCCCGAAGAGGGAAGAAATAAAGACAACAAGAAATGAAGACAACAAGAAATTGAGACGAAAACAGAAAATTCTCTTTGACACCCATCAGATTATTTCAGAGGTGACGTGAGAGTGGAGTAAACAAACCTGCACACTGCCGTAAAGCTTCAACTGGAGATTACAAACAAGAGGCAGTCTAATCGCTGCATGCTCGATACCACGTCTTCGTGCGGCTCAATAAGTTAGACTCTTTTATGTATATTTACTCCCACATCTCCAATTTCCCGCGTCTTCTCTAATGTCTGTGTGTTACTTTCTATGATCTAAACTCATGAATAAAACATGACCATCCCCATTTAGAGGAGATGTCAGAGTGTGATAGAAAACACCTCTGACATGTTACCTTGGAGTAAGCCAGAATCCCCCCGACGGATCTTTTAATCTTTCATTTGGATTCATGCCGGAAAACAACACAGCAGCAGCCCCCGTAGGCTCCAATACACACAGTACGATTTCTATCAACGGCTGACTTCTTTGTCCGTGAAAAAGGAAAAAAAAACAACATAAAATGCTAATTTAAGCAGGAATATAATGTATATAATAATGTATATGTATATAATGAGTGGAAACCCTGGGAGCTGCTCTCATGTTGCTTGGTGCCGTATACTAAATCTTCTTAAGGGGAGGGGGAAAAAGCAAACACACGGGTATATCTCTGTGGAGGGACATAAGGATGTGTCTCTATCTCCATCTCAGCATCACCTGCTTCCATCTGTACAAAGCGGCATCCATGGAAATGCTCACATATATACACCTACTCCCTGAGTCCAGCATTATCTGAGCGCGCTCCGGGCAGCTTACAAGTTGTCCTTTGATGATAAGAAAGTGTGAAACAGTTTTAATTTATCAGGGCTTCCAGGCCTTTTTCCTTTTGTGCGATCAGACACATAAGCTGCCGAGAGAAAACACACACACACACACACACTCATCCAACAGTGCTTCATCTGCACCATATCTAGAGATAGCCTGAGTTAAAGGCAAGGGTGGCAATCAGTGCTTTTGTTCTCAGACCAGAATTAGAAAAGATTAAAAGACTGAGCAGTGGCTCTTTAGGGCCTCATGATGAACAGTGGATATTTTATCTCGGTCGTAGGGAGAATCTCTTAAATCCCTGGACTATGAAGATTAGATCAGACAAATAGATTTGAGGGATGGTGATGCTACAATTCTTCCTCCTACAGTTCTTGAAAAGCCACTATCTTGGAGATATTTAGGGGGCAATCTTATTCCAATGTCATGCAAAAAACAATGACTCTGCATCAGTTTTTTATTCCTGAAAAAGGGTGTATGTCGTATACTTTACTGGTTTAAATATAAGGACAGAAGGAAAAAAAATCTCCTTGGTCCTTATATGGTGTTAAAATGTAGCAAAAATAATATCATATTAACAATAATACATTACATAAAAACCAAGAGAAAAACCTCTAATGGGCATTAAGTCAGCCGCAGACAGGTGCTGCTAATCAATGCACTTTGTGAACTGATCATCAGCAGGTGTGAGCATCTACAAAAAAAATCCCTCACAACCCAAATAAGATGAGATATTATTAAAATGTCAGAAATCGTTAAAATGTATCCCTGATTCCAAGATAAAAATAATCGCAATATTCTTGTTTTGATTGACTGACTATTAGTCATTATAACTTCTATCAGACAGTACATGTGTGTAACCTAACACATATCTTAAAGTATCTTATTCCAGCTAAATGCTTCTAAAGCTAAGCTTTGAAGCAACTTGTGAGACACTGTCACTGTTTTTACACCTGAATCAGTCTCATCAGGCTTTGATGCCAAACACTTTGAATCAAATGGTGATAATGGTGAAGAGCTGATTGGTAAGACCCGATCACAGCCTAAACTTTTAGAATGTTGTCTCTCTGAATGAGTGCTTGCAGTTACAAACTGCAGGCAATGTGAAATAATTGGAGCAACTCTCTGATAGGAAAACCTTGTTCTTCTTCAAATTATTTACGAGGTGTTGAGTCTGGATCTGCGTCTGATCAACGCTCTTTAAACCACTTCAAAACACAAATTGCTGCCTTAATTATTGATATAAACAGAACTCAAGCTAAAATAGATCATATCCAGTCAGATAAGCCCTCTGTAAAAACCAAACAAAAGGGCTTGTTCTGTTGGAAAATCTTTAATTCTACTTTTGGACATTTGCAGGCTAAACTGCTTGTTAAAAAAAAAAAAAAAACTTTATAATTCATGTTGAAAATAACTTTATTTAGAATTTTTTCTGACCTATAATACTTAAAAAATCTGAATTTCTCATGTCGAACTTTAAAAAATAAATTCTCTTTCCGTTTATCAAATAATTGACATCAATTAACCGCACGTAAACACAAAGTGGGAGTGACTACCATATGTCAACTCTTTAAATGATGAAAACATGAATGAATCCATCTCCACAATGCATTCATCTCACAGTTGCTTTTTTTTCTTTCCCTGAAGTGAATTGCTTGTGCAGCTGGCGTGGTTCAGACTGCCCACCAACCTCCCCCGTTGTTCCAACAACCTAACCTTATTTTGCTGTTCAATGTATCCCAGCCAAAGTCAATACAAACAGTGATTTTTCATAGTCTTGGCGGGGCCAAATTAGTCTCCCAAACATACAGTGGCTGTGCTCAGACACAGAGGAACATTTATTTACTCTTTCCAAAAAGAGGATGGGAGACTTTTTTTCCCTCTCTTCGTTGTAACAGCGGCTGCAGCTGGGTTTTTCCTAACGGACCTCACCAAGCTGTTCACACCGATAACACCGGCCCAGCCAGCCAACAAAGAAACAAACACTGTAACCAATTACACAGGCTACAGATAGAGACTAATGTTAAGGAAAACACAGCTGACCATGGCTCCGCGGAGATGCGCCCAATCTCACATTTAATTACATTTAGGATGTTTTAATGCATCACCGGTCATTCAAAGGGACAAATGAGATCCAGATGGATGCCGGGCGATGGGAATAGCACTTTGTGTCGGGTGGCCACTGCTCACAGACCTCAAATTATATGTGTTTGGGATTCAGTCTTTTACTCTACATTGCTGGATAGCTTGTTCTGACCTGCAGGACTGAATCGAAACTGTTTTAAATAATGGCGAGGCGTTCGAGGCACAATCAAATTCTCCGGAGCGAGGATTGCTTTGGCTATTGAAAAAGGACAGGAATCCATTAGTGTAATTAGGTCCTGCTCTATGACAAAACAGGTAAATAAAGTCAAAACTCACAAGCGCAAACACAAAGCAAACCGCAACGGCGTCCCCTGGTACCTACGTTTGACGCCGGAGGAGGATGATGTTGTGGGAGGTCTGGAGGATGAGGAGGAGGAAGAAGAGGAGGTTTTCATGGGGAAAGAAGTCTTCCCGCGGCGGGTGGAAGGAGCGAGCACCCTGGAGCGTTTCAGAGGGATCACAGCTCTCGGTGGGGGGGCCACTCTGCCGTGGTAGTCGAAAAGCCTTAAGAAAAAAGAAACCAATGAAATATAACCTGTTACACTTTTTCTCCATAAGTCACTGTCTTTTACAAGAAGCCCCGAAGCACCAAGAGGACGCCCACGGACTCCAGCTGAAAAGGTAATGCAGCTTATCTAACCATCAGCTCCCTCTAAAGCCGATTCTCTGCTCCCAGTGTTGTACTTCAAGATATATATGCCATGAATTTCTTCTTTGTTCTTTTTCCTCAAAAGGCCATAAAATAGAGTTCAGGTCTACTATCATCCTGCTTCCTGTACACAAACCAGGACCATTATGCGGATGAAAGTGTTTCTTCGACAAGTGAAAAGGATGAATAGAAGAGGGAGTTAATGTTGAATGAAGGCATCCGCTTTGATTGTTCTCAGTTACAGAGATTGTCGCAGTTTAGCAAGTTTGACATTTGGGGAACAGAAAATGTTTCCTCAGAGAAGCGCTCTGATGGCCGGTGGATAAAACAGGGAATAAAAAAAATTCTTTACCAGCGTATTGGAACTAAATGATTAATCTCATTAAGATTATCTAGTTGGTTGCTTTAAGCAGATTTTATTAATCAAATATTTCAGAATATGCTTTAAAGGGAGGATTGAGTTTAAAAAATGTTTTGACTGATATGAAAAGTGAGACTGACCGGTAAACCTCTATTGCAAAAATATTGTATTTTGGCTTATCCAGGTTCTTTTGATACGTAATAAAAAAACACAATACTTGCATTCACTGAGCCCTGTTTGGAAATCCCCACACCATGAAGAGAATTCTGCTTTTAAAGAGTATCCTTTCAGTACAGACCAAGGCTTTCAAAGAAAAAGAGGTGCTGGATACAGCTGACATTGTGGAGTTCTTATTTTAGAAGAGACTAAAATAAACAATGTTGTACAATAGTGCAAGTATCAGTGTGATAATACAGTCACTTGCAAATCAGCACAGCTGAATGGTAAAAGCCAAGGCCTCCACTTGACCGGATGGAAAGATGTACATTTCCACTGTAACAGCTAAAAGCTGAAATTAAACAGGTACTGTCATTTACATTAAACTGTCATTTACTTTTATAGTAAGTTTTGGAAGTTTACATGCTCACTGCTATAGCAGCTGCAGATGCTCGTTGTTACTCTTAGCTGTTTCTTACCTTTTCTGAAAGATTTTCTCAAGCACTGGCTTCTCAAAACATATTCATTAGCCGTAAAGCTTCATGCTGCAAGTATGGAAAATTAGGTCTGTCAGAGTTTTTCAGACAGCCAGCTTCTTGTAACAATAAGAAAAAAAGGCTTTAAAGGCATGTCAATAAAGTGCAAAATATGGTTTCCAGCAGACAGAGAAAGCAGGGCTTGGCGGATGCTGTATGTTTTTAAACCCAACATTTGATTAAAACAATGGCAAAGTGAATGTAAATGAATCCAAATTACACTTACCTGCTGTAGAAGTCATCCCTGTAGTACTCGTAATCAAAGTCATAACCACTATGTGAGCGATAGGAAGGGACGAGGAGGGCACAGAGACAAAGAGGGGGGAGAGATAAAGAAAGAATGTAGTTAATAAAGAATAATTTCAGATCAATCCAAAAGTAAATAGATTAAACTAATAGTATGGGCTCAAATGGAAACTTATACCTTAAATCTTTTCACAGGTTAACAATTGATTCCATGCTCTTTTCAAAGCATGCATTGATAAAAAAAACTGTTCAACAGACAAGCAGGGGCAGACTATAGAGAACAGATATATTTTCTTTGAACCAGGAGAGGAAAGTCAATGTTATATGCTCTGTCTGGAAACCAAACGACCAAAAGAGAGGAGAAATGAGCCATTCTGAAATGCTGCTATTCTCACAGCAGTCTTAATTAGTATTAACGGATTAGTATTTCATTAGAATAGCATGCTGTCGGTTTTCACTTCTCCTTTCCCAGGACCATAATTACCATTTTACATCCCAGCTGTTTTCGGTTCGTGTTCTAAAATGCAAATGAGGGTTTCTACGAACACAATGAACAAGCCAATAAATTAGTAAAATAAGATGTGTCGTGAAACCAGCCAACAGTAAAGATGGAAGTGAACTGGTGGGAAAAGCAAACTTTGGCAATGGGTCAGAGGGCACTAACTAAGTGTCCAAGTGGACAGAAAAACCTGTTACTTCTTCATATGATCTGCCCATCACATAGAGATGTGTTCATGATAAAGAACAAGGGTCACATTTAATGGAGCTTTTACAGCAGGATTTCTTTGAGCTTTTCACGTTCATTCTGAATAAAGTCTAGAGTAGAACTAAAATGGAGGGAAATATTAAACCCTTAATTGGAGATTCAATGGAGATACTGCAGGTTTACATCAGCTGGAGGTGAGTGACTCAGTCGATATCCCTAACAAGACTGGCCCCCCCGCACATCAGAAAGAAGGCGAATCTTACCTGTAAACAGCTGAGAGCGGCCGCTTGTTGCCTGCTTTGGGCCGGTATGGCTTGGGCTCACCCGCCATGTTTATGTCTGTAAGAAGATGGGTAGAATATATCAATATTACCGATCATGATGGTATCGAAAAGTCTGCAAACATATAAAGGGAATATCATTTTCTTCTATTAAAAAAAAGTAACATTGCTTTATTGTATACTTGTGGAGAAGTTTATTGCGTCAAGCGTGTTTTTGAGTGTATCTAAAATCACGATAATGTAAACAAAATCCAGCAGTATTTGCGCAATTTCAACACGACTGAAATCAATTATATCGGCAGATGAAGGTTTTGAAATAAAATATCCTTCAATGGTTGAAAATGAACAGTGGAGCAGGCAAGATACAATTTGTCTTGACTGGTACCACTGTCAATACTGTCTGGGAGGATTTGTTTGGAGCTCCAACTTCAGTGTAGTCAGTGATAAACTCATTAGGTACAGACAAAAAAAAAGAAGACAGACAGCTTTATTTGCAGCTTCTTTATTTGCAGCTTCTGTCTTTTTTTTTAATACGTTCTTGAGATGACTAGAGAGGTGAAAATAAGGTAATTTGGAAAAAATCCAACCTTCAAAGCATTCATCATTTTTCATGTAACAGGACAAGTCCTGCACGAAACTGTTCTCACTGGTTTCCCACTGGAAATTAAAACTGCGGGGTCAGGTGTGAGATGTGCACCTGGCTGACCCACCAGAAAGAGTAATCACATACATCATTTCCCCTTTTGGAGTATGAAGAAAACATCAGCCAATCCAAACTGTTCTGACGATGCATTGCCCCTGCGGTCATTCAAAGTCACACGTCATTGTGACATTCTTAACACGATAGAAAAAGCCAGACAAATTTTTTAACCAGCACACTTTGCTTGAATGCCATCATACATCATGTCAAATCAGTCCTTGGTGGCACAGAACCCAGTCAAACAAATCCCTGCTGTTAGGAGAGGACTATAAGGCACCACGGTTTCGTCTTACAAAATATCACTTTTAAAAGCAAAAACAACTTGAAAAATGGTTTAAACACCAACAATCTTTTTAAAATATATATTATGCTTTTTTTGAGGCCATTGAGACACAATGAAGACCCTAACTTACGGACCTTGTAAAGGTATTACAGTGGAAGAAATCCCAATGGTTCAAAGCAATGGGCATGAGGTATGATTAAAAAATAAAAAGGAAAAAATGTATTGATGTTAATTTACCCTCCGTGCTATTTCTTCTGACTCCAAAAAGGGTCAAAATGAAAAAACAAAAGACAGTAAAATCTTAGTATGGGCTGCATCCAATGAATTTGAGGTGGGGGGTAACAGGAGACCCTGCTTTCTTATGCTGGAAATAATGCAAAATGAATTCTTGTGCCAATATAGGAGAGAGGCCTTGAAAAATTTAAAGAATAGCAAGAATATATAAAAAGAAAAAAAGATGTTACCACCAGATGAACAACAGTCAGAGATATACAGACACATCAGTGCATTCTTTAGGCAGCCTGTGGTTTTCTCTGGGAGTAAGTCCAGCCGGTCAAAATCAGCAACAAAGTAAAGCACTCGATAGGGGAGAAAACAGCTACAATTCTACCTTAAACATTCAAGGTTTCAGGCATATTTCCCATTGACACAAACATGCCTGGGATCAGGCGCACGTACTCCACAGCCGTATCAAGAAAACCACAAAATGAAAAAACGAGCAGAGGAAGGGACTGAGGGAGAGAGGGATCAGAGGGTAAATTATTAACCAATGCAACAGACATCTAAATAAACAATAATTCAGATTAGAGAGGGATTTGTAGTATCTTTCTGTCCCTGGTAAAAAGACTGAAATGGAAACAACAATATTCTTTATAGAGGAGGATGGGACTAGAATGACAAACAAAGAGAAATACTTTAGTACAAAGAGCCTCTTATCCGAGGAGAGGTATGAGCACTACAAAAACTGTTCTCTTGAAAATAAATAAATCATGCAATGAAGGATGAAGAAAATGGATAACTAGAGGCAAAAAGTACGAATGCTTCTCCCCCCCCAAACAATTTGAGCAAAGGCCGAATAAAATCCCCATCATGTATTTTTCTTTATAGCGTCCTTGATACCATGCAGAGTTTTGCTTCTAAGCAGGGGTGCAATGGAGAATTCGCATATAAAACCAAAAGCAATGTACCGAGCGTCCTTGAAAAAGGAAACGGAAAACCTCATTGTGAAGTCGCGCCAAATATGAGTCCCAGCGAAGTGCCTCACAGGTATATAGATCACTTTAAAGGCGCTTTCTGACATGATGTGGTTTTCTGCATGCAAAAGCTGTTCGCACTAACACTTTGTCCCTCCCAGCTGCACACATTTCGCTAAATAATTTATGCGTCTGCCCTTCCCTGAGACGCCAAATAAGAGGAAGCACCCCAATCCCAAGGAGTGGAATCACACTGGGGTGAAAATAAGCTGCTGGCAAACCCTTGCCTCCTTCCCAAGATGGCTGCTCTCATGAGACACAGGATTAAACCCTGCTCTGTTTGTACACTGCCTACTTAGACACGCTAAAAATACATTTACGGCAAGCTGCATGACCAAACAAGAGGGGTTTTTCGTGTGAGCATACTTGTTAAGAATATGTTGGAACTGACCATTATGCTGACTTGGAAGATGATTGCTAATTAACCTAACAGTTTACTCACAGATACGTCTTAGGCACATCTTTAATTAGCACACAGCAGCCACACTAAATATAAATAGCACCCCAAACCTCTAGAAATGAAAATAAATCTCAAACAGAACCACCTCTGAACCACGCTTTAGATCCAGACGGATTTATTTTCAGTGCAGCCATTTCCTTTCTCTACTGTGTCTACAGTTACTGCCTCTGGAGGGCAGGTCTGGTGGGTTTGGTTTAACAGTCAAGTCCATTAAAAAAACACACACATGAGATGGTTATTTGTCTGTTTAATTAAAAAAGGACCTAATTAATCTGTCTAACTTGCTCATATTGAGTTCATGCTTTCTTCCTTAAGAATGAACATAATGATAGTTGCGTTTTCTTATGAAGAATAAGTCTAAAGTAGACTTTTTAATACACTTTTGCTTTTACTCTAATAAAAAAAAAATTGGTCTGTGCTACATAAATTTGAAATCACCTTTTATAGAAAAACCACTTGTTGGAATCTACTCTCAAAAGACTAATGAGTGGAAGTGAAGTGTTCGACAAAACCGACATGATCTGCGCTGTCCTCACTTCACCGCGCATGAAGTGGCGTGGAGTGGGGCTAATTGCGATCCGTGCTATGCAGGATCGCCCTGTTGCTGCTTTTAGCAGAACATTTTGTGCCTCTGCGGGAAGCGCACACACACACACAGTGACAGGACCAAACTTTTCCATCAGTTTGCAGCCCTCGACTTGTTTGTCAGCTCCATCTGCAGCTGGGGTCGGCTGGACACGGGGGGCTGGAGCTGTCCGTGGTGCTGAACAACTAATAAAGGCTTTTCTTTTAAGGTGTGTCAGTCCTCTGTCTGGGCATTGAAGAAAAACTAGAAAAAGGAAAAAAAAAAAACAACAACCTTGCAACGATGTGGATGTGCATATAATGAAATGGGAACCTGGCTACAATATTTTTAAGATATGTTTCGGCTCGCTTCCCTATTTTCTATCTCCCACAGAAGGGGGGGTGGTGTGTCTGTCTCTGTGAAGATGCTGACACAAGCCCAAGCCTGGTGTGAATAAATATTTGAGTTAGGATTGTTATTGGCAGAAAAATCCAGGGGGGGCAATAAAGGATGTAAACTGCAGCAGAAAGACAGAGGCACGGAGCATAAGCAATCACTGAAGACAGACCTGTGTTCCTCTGTCAAGAGAACAAGGATCCGTGACTCCCTGAAGGAAGCTGCCTCTGTGTTTTATTGGTCTCATTTGCTGCCTTATATCTCTGTCTCCCCCAGACTGCTCCTGTTCAGCCCTCACGCTCTAACCTCAGCTTCACCCTATCCTTCAATGTCTTTCCCCCCCCCTGCGTCTATCGCCTTCTTTTTCCTTGCGCACAATCTCACTCAAGACAATATCTAACCCCAGTTGCCATCCGTTTCCATCTAACATCCTATATTTCTTATTTTGTTACCCTGCAACAAAGAGGCTCATTATGAGACATTTCAGTGCCAAGCATCACCTGTGGGGGCTTTTATATGTGACACCTGTGCCGCTGACGCTAGCTTTGCAAGTGTTATTCCCCCACTTCTTTCATAAACAAGGAAACAGCACAGCGAAGGAAGCTAAAGCTTTGAATTAATCACATCTCTAAAAAGGGCCATATAGCAACATAATGCTGGAGATTCACTTCGAATGAGGAAGTTCTCCTGTGAAAAGCGGATATCTTTGCGTTAATGGAAGGAATACGTATGAACTAACACGATGAGATCAAAACCCGCTGGTCCTTTGCAGACTACAATACATCCCAGTGTTGTGTCTCCACCTCTGTCGCTTTGTGTATTTTCTTGAAGGAGGCCATCTCCATTCCCCCTTCATCTGTAACATGGGGAAATGGAGACACCAGCTAATAGCCTGAGGCTTCAGAGGAGAGCTAACAGGCAATGGGGAGTCAGCTCAAGGTCAGGAGGGTGGAGAGACTTACAAAGTGTGTGTCATTTTGCCAGCAAACAGCAGTACACACTGGGGGGACTTACCAATACCTACAACTGCTTCTCTTTTCCCAACAGCCTGCTGTCATCAGTCAATACTTTGCAACAGTGGACTCACAATTACTTAGAGGTCTTGTAGTTAAACACTTACACTTTCTATTACTGACAATAACAAGTTAAAGACTATCGTGTAAACATGAGTCAACACACATTCGTTAGTTCAATAATGACAAGCAGCCCAATTTGGGCCGTAATTGTGAAGAAGGAACGATTGTCGACATGTTCAATGTGTAGTACGGTAACAATCCAGGCTTTAAAAATGTGACTCTTTGGTAAGCATTTGTTTTTTTGAGTTGGTAAGAATGACCAATAAGAATTTAACTATTGTGATTTAAAATAATATACTTTTATAACCCCTAAGCAAGTCACTTT